CTTGCAGTAGCACTAGTAGTAGCAGCAGCAGCAGCAGCAGCAGCACCATCATCATCATCATCATCATCAGCCGCCGCCGCCGCCGCAGCAGCAGCAGCAGCAGCAGCAGCAGCAGCAGCAGCAGCCGCAGCTGCCGCCGCCGCCGCAGCCGCAGCCGCAGCAGCAGCAGCAGCGCCACCAAACAGCAGGCGTGCCTTCTTGTTTGGGTATTCCTTCCGTCGTGGCATCATCATTGCTGGTGGCTGTCGTGTTGGCGGCTTGATTGTTGTTGTGATGGTTGCAGGCGGGGTGGTGGGCAGGGTTTCAGCATTATGAATGGTGGAGATGATGTGCTGCTGCTGCTGCTGCTGCTGCTGCTGCTGCTGCTGCTGTGGTGGTGGCGGTGGTGGCAGCGACGGTTTGGAGGGGCTTGCTGCTGCTAGTCTACTTCTTTCTGCTCCTACTCCTACTCCTGCTCCTGCTCCTCCGCCTCGATCTGTATCCAGCATCATCTCCTGCTCCTGCTCCTGCTCCTGCTCCTCCTCCACAGCAGTGCGGCTGCTCTCCACCTCTCAGCCTGAATCTCCTCCTCCTGCTCCTCCTATTCCTCCTCTTCCCCCTCCCGCGCCCCAGCACTCTATAATAATAATAGCACGTGCCGCCTCACGTACGTCTTGCTTTTCTCCTGCTTCTTCCTGCAGCATGCAGAAAAAAACGATATATTATTATATATACATTAAAAAACACATTTTCTTGTTTCAATTCAACAATGATGATTGTTATTATCAATAAAACAAAAGTTGAAGAAAGCTTAATAAATCGTCTCGTGCTGCTGCACATGTCGGTTATATAATAACATCAGCGAACTGATAGTTTTCTACGTGAAGCGTTGAAAACTAAGGTTTTCTGCGAATACGGAGTGTCTTTGCCGTATGGCGTACGAGCCAGTGTGGCTCTTGTGTCGCGGCACACGACAGTGTTGGCTAATTCGGGTTGTTCGTAGCTACGTTTGGGTGCTGCCGTGAAGCGGTTGGTCTGTAGGCCTTGGTGATCCGCTTCGTGGTAGTGTGCCCTCAATTACAATGTCCGATTCTGACAGCGAGACTTCGGTCAGCTACAACACGATGTACACCGAACTAAAAGCGCGACTAGTCGCACTTAAGGAAAATAAAGATGACAAGGCTGCGCAGGAGCGTCGAACCGCTGACCCGGGCGTAATTTTGAACAAGCAGCAGCTGGCTGCCATGGACCAGCTGAACGCCGTGAAGCTGCAGCTGACAACCATTAAGAAGCTTATGGACACGAAGCCTGACGTGCAGGCGGTCGACGGTCCACCGGTGAAGCGGGCCCGTGTCGCCCTTGAGGATTTCAAATGTGACTTCGGCGCCAGCGAGGGCAAAGCGAACAAGTCTCTCAGCGGACAGCGCGCGCATATCGAGAAATGCTACAATGCGGTAATGGACATTGAGGACGCGTGGCGCAACGTCCTCGCGGCTCGGCCCGGCGAGGAACGCTTCAGGAACATCGAGGCCATGGAGACTGCCATCACCGACGGCAAGGCCGTGTTCCGGGGGGTCGCGAAGGAGCTGGTCGTTGCATACAACCACGGCTGGGAGGTCGTGCATGAGATGCGTGGCATGGCGTACGCGGAGACGGAGGAGGAGCGCAAGGCGCTGAAGCAGGCCGTGAAGGCGGTGGCGGGCAAGAAGCCCAAGCAGGCCAAACCCGCGAGCGTGCCGGCCGGCTCTGGTGCGGGGGCCGGGGTGAAGCAGGCAGCGGCGGCGGGTGTCTGTTTCAAGTGCATTAAGCCTGGGCACTTCGCCAAAGAGTGCAAGGAGAAGTAACGGGGTGTAGTGTGGTGCGGGTGTGAGAGGTAATTCGCAGCCCGTGGGCCCGGGAAGGTCGTGGTGGTTTGGAGCCGACGCGGGTGTTAACTCGCGAGTCGGGGCCCGGAGAGGCCGGGGGGGTAACAGCCCCGTGGTGTTTTGGAGCCGACACGAGTGTTAACTCGCGGGTCAGGGCCCGGAGAGGCCGGGGGCAGCGGCCCCATAGCGTGGAAGCGTGTTGTTGACGTTCCTTGTGGCTGTAGCCTTGTGTGGGGTTGGGTGGCTAAGGGCACGGCCGCCCCCTCCGCGATTATTGAAGTTTCGTGGTAGTGTGCCCTCACCCGGCCCTACCCTTTCACGAAGACGTTCTTTCCTTGCGTGCAGGTACTTGTTTGTAACGTAGTCTTCGCATGAAAACTGATAGTTTTCTACGGTTTTCTGCGAATACGGAGTGTCTTTGCCGTATGGCGTACGAGCCAGTGTGGCTCTTGTGTCGCGGCACACGACAGTGTTGGCTAATTCGGGTTGTTCGTAGCTACGTTTGGGTGCTGCCGTGAAGCGGTTGGTCTGTAGGCCTTGGTGATCCGCTTCGTGGTAGTGTGCCCTCACCCGGCCCTACCCTTTCACGAAGACGTTCTTTCCTTGCATGCAGGTACTTGTTTGTAACGTAGTCTTCGCATGAAAAAAACTAAGATCGCAACAGTCATAGCATCAGCCGTGACTTGAACCCACGTTCACCTATTGCGCATTCGTACTGCAAATTACTATGTCTTAGCACTTATTAGGCTCGCTCACCACTCCTCCGGGAGTAGCCGATGACTTGGACCGGGCAGCGTTAGAGTATATCCTACAACTTACTTGTAAATCGCCCTTACTGCCGGCGTGTCCTTTCGAGGACGCTAAAGCTGTTTCTTTGTGCTTTTGTTGCGGTGTATTGATTGGTATTTGTCTGGTTCCGTGGCTCGCGCGCATTAGACACATGTCTGCTTCTGCTTCTTCGCGGCTTGTTTTCTACTTGGCGCCTGCTCCATAAATAAAATTTTAAAAACGTCCTGATAGCTCTCGCTGTGACGGTCTCATTTCAATTGTCTGTTTGTCGTCGGCGAGCGGTGAGAAGTAGGGGCGGCGCACTTTATTACTAATGATGACGTATAGTACGACAAAGCACACAGCAGCACGGCTGCTGTGCTTCTTTTGCGGTTTCCGTCGTCGTTGTTGTTGTTGTTGTACCGATTATTTTTTTGTTGTTACATTCATTATTGTTGACCCTAAGTATTCAAGTAATATATATAATGCATGTGCCGCAGAACATGATGATGAATGATGATGCTATGTGCCCGCTTCCGCTCCCGTACTTATACTTATTACTTTTCTTATTACTACTACTAATTGTAAAAACTTTGAGCGACTCTTCCCGGCAATTTTAATAACGATGACGACGACGACGACGACGACAACGATGAGGACGAGGATTGACGACCAGACACCACCACCAGCGAGCGCGATCGCATCGCATATTATTATATTCTTATTCTGATCATTCAATCACAGAGCACAGCAGAGGCGGCACAGCAAAGTTTTAGTGGTGGTGGATCATCGGCGGGTTGGCACGCTTGTGTTGTGCACGCGGCGAGATTGTTGTTGGTGGTATACCGTTAGGGTTATTAGTATTATTATTTTACATATAATATTTTACATACATTATTTTACATATGTGCCAAATCGTGCCATGTTGATACAGCAGCATTGTTTGATTGTGTTGGTGTATATATGCATATAGAGAGATCGTGTGTCCGACGAGAAGGGAAAAGGGAGCATACACAACAACAACATGTACAACTATACGTGGGTGCATCGCCACACCGTCGTGCATGCGCATGTCCCATAATATCCACATACCCGCGGAGCCATCATATGCTGCGTATGTGTACTACTACTCATAAAGTAGTATCACGTACAGTATGACATGTACAACAACCCAACAGACAGACCAACAACATACATCGCAAGTGCAGTGCGCGGATATACATACATACATACATACACACACACCCACAGTCTAAGAATTTAATAAAAACTCTCCCACAGTCTCCCTCGACAGTCATCCGCTCAGTCGCCGTCTGTATCTGTATGCTGTCCCCATCACCATCGTCTCCCTGTGCCTGTCCCTCCCTCCATATATGTATGTTCTCTAGGTATATAATATCCTTGTACGACAGAGTTTGCACGTGTGCCGTCATCAATGTATATAAGATACAGCATAAGTGTCTGCACCACATATATATACATATGTACGTGTGCACATCTCTGAGCAGCCCGGTGCATGGTCTCCGCGTGATAATAGATGAGGTTGTTATCATCACCTAGTTCATACATACGTACAAAATGCATACATACCCTGCTCTGTGAAGATGACAAAAAAGAGGTATAGGTACTACTACTACTACTACTACTACTACTACCACTACTATCTGGATTCTTTTGCTTGGGTGGCTGGCAATAATAATTGTATATATTTTAAAGTTACTCTGCTGCGGCCGCCATATGTATTATATAGCATCATGGAGGGATGTTTAGCTTCATTCAGGGTTCATTACTATCAATCATTGCTATGTGTGCTAGGGAGCTGAACAGGACTACACATTCGTGCTGCTGCTGCTGCTGCTGCTGCTGCTGCTGCTGATACACAATAGCTGCCAACTGTGCGGGATATGTGCGTGTGCGGGATATGTGCGTGTGCGGGATATGTGCGCGTGCGTGCGCGCACACACACGCACGCACACATGCATGGGGGTGAGGTGGGGGTTTTGGTGGGTGTCTGGAGACATGTGCGCACACACACGCGCGTGTGTCTCCAGCCACATCCACCAAAACCGCCCTCCTCACCCCCATTCACCGTCACATCATTATATACCCTCGCCCTGCCCCCTCCCTGCCGCGTACACACATATACACACCGTACACGCGCGTGCAGCTTGTGTCCTCCCACCCCCGAACACCTATATGTATAGTACCGCGTACCCCCAAAAAACGCTTGTACCCCCCTCTCAAAAAAGACACCTCTCAAAGCCGCCCAAACCCCGAACACCTCATCATATATCTCGTACCCAACCAAACACACCTCCCAAAAACCCCCCGAACCTCAACCACACAATTTTAAAATTACGTTGTCCCTTGTCCCTGCTCTACTACCCCAAAACCCAATCACCTCGTACTTTGTACCTCCTCATATAATATAATATATTATCCCAGACCCAAAAGAAAACCTCGTATATATCTAGAGTAATAAAGTACCCCGAAAACACAAAACGCCTCAAAAACCTCGTATAATAATATCCACCCTTCCTCTCCGTGTCGTAGTAAAATATAATACACCCAACAGACCTCAACAATGGAAAAAAAAACCTTTCACAAACCCCACAACAACAAAAATACTCCACAAACCCCTTCCAATCTCTATGTACCAATTGCAATCGCCAGCATCATCATTATAATCATCATCGGCAGCTGATGGCTGTGCTGCTGTTGGCCTGATGCAGCTGGCCGTCATCGCCACCATCGTCATCATATCGCCATCTCGTCAATGCCGTCGTACAGTCCCAGCATCCACGCCGCCGCGAGGGGACTCATGACGGCGCCGTCTAACGCATGCGCCAGCTCTAAAGGTGACGCGGCGGCAGTGCAGGGCTGGCAAAAGATGGGTCGCTGTGATGACCCACGGGTCGGCCCCGTAGCAGCGCCAGCGGGTAGCAGGCCAGCATCGGCAGCATCTTAGGCAGCATGCCGCACGTCACGGCCTTCGTCATCAAAAACACCCCCCCCACACGCCACGGCATCTGTGCTTAAACCCTAAGCACTAGCACGAGCACTGGCGCTGGCGCTGGCGCTTGGCTCATCCTAGCCATGTCTCTGCTTTTCACCTGCTGGCTGGGGGGGGGGGGAGGGGAGGAAAATTAAAAACAATTAGGGTGACGGCACATTTTTTATAAATGTTTCTATCGTATGAAAAGTGAGGGGGGGCAGCAGGTGTGAGCATGAGCAAACATTTCCTGTTTTTAAAATATGTGTACACAGCAGATGTAGATAATGTGGGAGGGCTGTGGGTACGCCCCCACCCCCACCCCCGCCCTCTTCATCTTTTCCCCAGAAGGCCACGCCCTCAAAAACCAACATATCGCCACACACCTATGCCCCAATTCCCGGACGCTTTCTAAACCTTTCTATGTGCCATTACCTTCAGATAGGATGCCTGTCCACCATTTTTCAGTGACCCCCCAAGCGCCTGTATAGAGACTACGATGCACGGCGGCTGCACTAGAATACGAAATCGATCTCTTATGCGCGGCGCTGGACTGCTAATATAAGCTATATAATCTCTCTCTATATATAGCAGCTGTGAGAGTCCCAGGGCTAATAAAAGGAATTGCGTGCACGGTTTGCCCGATGAGGCGGCGGCGAAATCCCACACATCACCTACTGTAATACACGCGTCAAGAGTCAGAGAAGGAGACAGCGAATCTACGATTATTAATATTATTATTATTGTGTGTGTGTGCCTGTGATGTGTGCGCGAGAGGGAAAGCCACATAATATACTACAACGACGTGCGCGGCAGAAAAAGCTACATACAACTCTCCCAGGAAAACGCGCAGCCTGCAGGCTCCTTTTGCCTATTATGTTCTTAAAAACCCCGACCATAACACTTACCGATGGCTTTACACACGGAGGGGCAGACAACTGCTGCACCGCGACGGCATCACGATGCATCCGCACCAAGCCCGGCAGCTCTTTTCAAAACATATCGCCCTGTGCGGAGCATGATACAGTTGCATACAGGGAGTGAGAAAACCACTCAATTCGATGGTACGCGCGCACACAGAATATCCTTTTGGATGATCTCTACTAGCCACGACTTACTGGCCACGAGAGGCGGCGCTGCACTGGAATACTCCATCTTTTCCGCGCTTCTGAACTCTTAAGCTAATTTCTTAACCTCTGTAATAGCTACACATACATGTTGCGCTGAGTGCCAGGTCTTCT